TTCACACTTTGCTCATTACAGGTACCTTACGTATATTTCACACTTTGCCCAATACATGTACAGGAGGTATATTTCACACTTTGCTCAATACATGTACAGGAGGTATATTTCACACTTTGTTCAATACAGGTACAGTACGTATATTTTACACTTTGTTCAATACAGGTACAGTACGTATATTTCACACTTTGCTCAATACATGTACAGCAGGTATTTTTCACACTTTGCTCATTACAGGTGCAGTACGTATATTTCACACTTTGCTCAATACAGTATAGCAGGTACATTTCACACTTTGCTCAATACATGCACAGCAGGTATTTTTCACACTTTGCTTATTACAGGTGCAGTATGTATATTTCACACTTTGCTCAATACAGGTACAGTACGTATATTTCACACTTTGCTCAATACAGGTACAGCAGGTATATTTCACACTTTGCTCAATACATGTACAGCAGGTATTTTTCACACTTTGCTCATTACAGATGCAGTACGTATATTTCACACTTTGCTCAATACAGGTACAGCAGGTATAAATAACACTTTGCTCAATACATGTACAGGAGGTATATTTCACACTTTACTCAATACAGGTACATTACGTATATTTCACACTTTGCTCAATACATGTACAGCAGGTATTTTTCACACTTTGCTCATTACAGGTACAGTACGTATATTTCACACTTTGCTCAATACAGGTACAGTACGTACATTTCACACTTTGCTCAATACAGTACAGCAGGTATTTTTCACACTTTGCTCATTACAGGTACATTACGTATATTTCACACTTTGCTCATTACAGGTGCAGTACGTACATTTCACACTTTGCCCAATACAGGTACAGTACATACATTTCACACTTTGCTCAATACAGGTACATTACGTATATTTCACACTTTGCTCAATACAGGTACATTACGTATATTTCACACTTTGCTCAATACAGGTACAGTACGTATATTTCACACTTTGCTCAATACATGTACAGGAGGTATATTTCACACTTTGCTCAATACAGGTACATTACGTATATTTCACACTTTGCTCAATACAGGTACAGTACGTATATTTCACACTTTGCTCAATACATGTACAGTACGTATATTTCACACTTTGCTCATTACAGGTGCAGCACGTACATTTCACACTTTGCTCAATACATGTACAGCAGGTATATTTCACACTTTGCTCAATACATGTACAGCAGGTATTTTTCACACTTTGCTCATTACAGGTACAGTCCGTATATTTCACACTTTGCTCAATACAGGTACAGTACGTACATTTCACACTTTGCTCAATACAGTACAGCAGGTATTTTTCACACTTTGCTCATTACAGGTACATTACGTACATTTCACACTTTGCTCAATACAGGTACATTACGTATATTTCACACTTTGCTCAATACAGGTACATTACGTATATTTCACACTTTGCTCAATACAGGTACAGTACGTATATTGCACATTTTGCTCAATACAGGTACAGCAGTTATATTTCACACTTTGCTCATTACAGGTGCAGTACGTACATTTCACACTTTGCTCAATACATGTACAGCAGGTATATTTCACACTTTGCTCAATACATGTACAGCAGGTATTTTTCACACTTTGCTCATTACAGGTACAGTACGTATATTTCACACTTTGCTCAATACAGGTACAG